GCGACTTGCGTTCAATATTTTATCTTCTTTATGTATTTCTCTGTTTACGTTTTGTTTAAACATAATTGTTTGAAATACTTTAATATAAAAATTGTAACAGCGCTTCTCCAATCGTTCTGTCGGTAACCCTCTGTCGGTAACTCTCTGTCGGTAATTTCTTGTGCTAATAAACACGTACCAGACAAAGAGCGGGAAATTTGATTTCACAAAAACCAAGATTCAATTGCAACTATTATGGAATATTTTCAGGCTGATGTTCGCGAAGATGAGGAGCAAACGAAGAAATTTCAAGACATTATCGACTTGCTTCTTGCGGCAGGCTATTTTCGAGCTAGGATAAAGGGATTATCGAATTTTGATAAAGTATGTATGAGATGAACTTAAGATGCATTTGAAACCAACAGATATAATTTTTAGGTAATCGGTGGAATGACGTGGTGTATAGAATCATGTAACTTCGATGTAGATATCGATCTACTGTTTAGGGAAAATCTTACCATAGGTCAAAAAATGTAAGTACATTTATGGAACATTTGAAATATTATACATTTATATTACATCTTATACATTTTACATCATAGTTCACTGACCGAAAAAATTGTAGCTATGCTACCTAAAATGAATTGCCCATATCGAATAGAACCACATCAAATTCAAGGCTTAGATTGCATTCACATTTTCCCTGTTATTCAGGTAATTTTTTGAATCTTTGATATGTATTAATAATATATTATTAATTCTTTGAGTTTTTATATATACTCATAATATGTGGTTGGTTAATGTGTTTCAGTGGTTGGTTAAACGTTCGATGGAAACTCGGGAAGAAACAGCAGACTTTGTACGATCGTTTGCTTTAAGTCAGTTTCACAAAAAGCATTCTTTCTCCGAAGATCCATCCGCGGCACAAGGTGTTAAAGAAAATTTAATAAAAAATATTCATTTGATTAAGGTACGACGTTATTTTCTAATTCTCGTTCAGACTAATGCTTGTTAATTTAAAATGATTAAAAGTATCATTTGTTCTAGAAATCGTACGAACCTCGACGCCTTTTTAAACACAGAGACGACGCTAAGAGAGAAGAGTCTACAAGATTTCTTGGCACTGTCCTGGAATATGAAGCACCCTTATATTCTATAAAAATTGCTGCTTTACCGGCTGAAGCTGCTTCAAGCGATGTTAAAGAAAATGAAAATAAAGAAGAGCTGAAGGAGAAGGTGAATATTTTGGAATAACACACTCCTTAATAGATGTTTAGCGAAAACGAAATTAAATTTATTTCCGTAGGAAAATACAGACCAATTAGCTGGAAACTTGGCTGCTATAGAAGAAAGTTCAGTAAGTAATTGTGTTGTTATAATTCCTATTAAATAGTTATCCATTACTTATGATTTAGGCTCGTTTAAGCGTAGTGGCTATGGGTAATATCGTTGGTATTCAAGCTCAAGAGATCGCCAAAGTAGCCGAGAAATATGCGACGATGTCGATTTCCGAAACCGAGGTAAATTTTTTCCAATTTTTAATTTAATGTAATACCTATTAACGATCTAAACAAACTTCCAAATGTCTCAACAACCCGCAGGAAACAGGCGGTGGAAATTCTTCAGCAGCTTTGACTGCACTGGAGAATCAGAGAGCTGCGCTTCAAAATCGTGTTCGTAAATTAACGAAAGAGAGAGACGCCTTGTCCGCCAAGCATTTGGAATTAACGGAGAAACTGAACGAATCACATGCAAAACGACAAGCCATCGAGCGCTCGTTAAAGAAAGCGCAAGAAATGGATATCAATGAAAATGATAGGCATTTATCTTTTTTATTACGCTTTCTACATCTTTATCATTGAAAAATATTTTAATTGAAAAATATTTATTTAGTATGTACAAACGCTTGAAGGAACTTCTTCTGGTGCACGATGGTTTAAAGGAGCAAGAACATGACTTCCGCGAACAATGTAAGTCTGATTTGAATCTTCTAAAAGGTAAGTTGCAAGAAATCGAAAATGGCACGTCCGAAGAGGAAGAAGATCGTTTGAAGGAGTACGAGCAGCAAAAAGAAGCGGTTACAAAGGTCAGACTACAGCTGGCCAAAAAAAATAGAGCTATTGCATCTTTAACTAGGCAATTGGACGATGTTCCTGGTCGTTCGGAACTTACGCAATACCAAAGGCGATTCATGGAACTTTATAATCAAGGTTTGTCGAACTATTTTTACACATCGGCGTACGTTTACTTATCGAGTCGAATTGTTGTTAATTTACAGTTTCGGCAAAGCACAAAGAGACAAAACAATATTACACGTTGTACAATACTCTGGATGATACGAAGCTTTATTTAAGCAAGGAATTATCACTGCTGAATTCAATTCAAGATAATTATAATGAGTAAGTAGTAAGGTAAACTTT